CACACCTTCAAAGCAGATAACTATTAGATTACAATTATTGACATACAATCATAACGGGTGTTCAATAAAAATTAAGAATTGTTTCAATCATATAGCTACACACTTAGATTTTTTCGCCGAGATGGGCACCACCGAGCAGCTCGGGATTTTATTTTGCTGGATCTCAGTGAAAAACTTGCCGAGATTCAGCTAACAAACGGAAGTTTTGCCGAGATCTGCTGATGTGAGGGAGCGATACTTCCATGAACAGTGACGAGTTGCCGAAACAAACAAGGAACTGTGGCAAACGTACCATCTGTAACCCAATACTTTGCCTGTCCAAGACGTCGTTCATGAGTTCCAAAAATTAAGGCTCTTTCATTATTGTCACCAAAGTCAGCAATCAATAGACGGTCTCCATTATTATCCTTCTGGAATTCATCCGGTAGATTATGCCTAACGTCCATTATGCCTAACGTCCTTTATGCCCAACGTCCATTATGCCTATCGTACATTATGCCTAACGTCCGTATGCCTAACGTACGTATGCCTAACGTCCGTATGCCTAACGACCGTATGTCTAACGTCGTGCACCCGATTATGATTGATTAGGTGAATTAGAGATTTTAATTATTTATTCATTATAAATTCATTATAATTATCATTAGCATCATAATCATCAAATGAACTTAAATAAGAAACTTCAGAAAGTCTAATGACATAAAGTAGATTAACAAAAGAATTAAGATGCGGGGGGTCCGCTTAGAGAGGCAACTAACCTTTAAAGTTGTAGAATAAAGCTTCTTATTTAGTCTTGAACTTTAATAAGAAAACGCAAGCAGATTAACAAGGAGAGGAATAGTTTATCAAATAAGTACAAGTAGAGGTATGTGACAATTAATTACTTATCAACTTTTGGAGGTATTGATTTCCCCTGAGTTTGTTGTACTCGATTACTATATTATTCTCTCAATACGCAAAATCTCTTATATATACGGTTAAAGCATTTGAGTTAACTTATTTCTTAGTGTTCAAGTACCTACATTTGTAAACAGCAGTCAATGTTAATCTATGAACTAAACCCTACGTAAAATCGATCTTTCCTTATGTGGTATTGATGCATGTTTAACTTTTCGCGGCTGTCGGTATCAACGCGCCTACGTCTACGGAGCTTACGCAGAAGTGATTCGCAATGCCGTAGAGCTCACCAAAAGTTTTTTGAGCTTCTGCAGTATAGAATTTGTTCGGTACGGTCGCGAAATCTTGAAATGATTGATGATATAATTAAAATAACTTAATTGAAACAAAGCTCAACAATAAAATAAGTAGAATATTTAGGGAGGAAACCAAAATTAATCAACTTGCCAACGTAGGCTATCACATTTATTTTGGTGGCACTCTTTAAGTGATAATAAGCTGTTTTTTCTCTACGGTTGTTTCGCGTGGCGTTCACAACTACCGCGATTTTCGTATCTTACGTAATTTAGATGCTTAGCTCTAAATGGTTTTACTGACTCGAGGTCGTTCCTTAAGCGGTGTTGGTACAGGTTAAACCTTTGCCGACTGTCGGATTCAACACGCCTACGTCTACGGAGCTTACGCAGAAGTGATACGCAATTCGGTAGACCTTGTCAAACCTTTTTGAGCTTATGTAGTATAGAATTTGATCAGTATGGTCGCGAAATCTTGAAATGATTGATACGTGCGGTAAAATAACTTAATTGAAACAAAGCTCAACAATAAAATAAGTAGAATATCTAGGAAGGAAACCAAAATTAATCAACCTGCCAACAAAGGCTATCACATTTATTTTGGTGGCACTCTTTAAATGATAATAAGCCTTTTTTTCTCGCTTCGGTTGTCTCGCACGGCTTTCTGAATTCGCGTGGTTTTCGTAACTTACATAATTTAGATATTTCGTTCGAAACGGATTTACTTATTCAATCGGTTTACTACGCGGATGTATCTACGCGCACTCGTCACAGCATTTGTTCTATAACTATCTTGAAACAATACACACGGAATCCAGTGTTCAAGCGGCCAACATAGGCTAGTCCTTCTGCTGTATTGTCAAAAATAAAAGCAAAATTTATTCAAATGGGTCAAGTGTTGAAAACTAAGCTGTCACGCAGCTCCAGCTTGATACCCAATAAAAAAAGAAAAGAAAAGAAACTTACCAAAAAGTGAAACATCACTAGACTATTCATGATACTCTGGAACTGCGAGGGAAGCTGGAATCGAATCCGGATGAACTTAGCCATCCGATGGCCACCAAACACATCCAGGCTTGCTTCTACTCACTTGCTATAAAAATGATTATCGGAATTTTGAAATTATTAGGTATTATAATTATATTTTGTTCTTGCTAGATACAAGAAGAGGTTGAAAGGCAAGTGTTTGACACTTAAAACCTGTCAATTTCGCTTTCAGAGTGTCACAATCAGCAATTCTATGATTCGTGAGCGTTCACTTAGAGTGAGCGCTCGCGAGACGTAAAATCGCTGATTGTGACTATCTGCAAGCGAATTAGACAGGTTTTATGTGTGACACTTGCATTTTAATATCTTTTTGTATCTAACATGTTATCAATTATTTCAAAATTCCGAAAATCATTTTTTTACAGCAAGTGAGTGGAAGCAAGCCTGGTTGACATGACTGATTCTCAAAAATTTGGTTACCACATTTTAAGATTCAGTCACTATTGGAAAGATATGACCATAGGGTAACTCTAAGTCCAGAAGGTCCCGAAGAAACTTGCTCACCAGCTCAGCTCTGGTACTTCGGTTCCAAGCTAATCAATGCACCCCTCGAAACATAGGAAAATCCACGAACCCCTCGTTTTATCTAGTACTAGAATTTCGACTTGAATGGGGTACTCCTATAGATGTACTTGGGACCAATAGGCTAGTCAAGTAGTGAGCCAATTTAAAACCGTTAGTTTCCATTGGTTGAATATGTGCTATCAAATGGAACAGACAGGGAACCAATTGGACTTGTGGTTGGCTAGTCGGAACTAGAAAATCTGTTAGAGATAGGAAAATGGTCCATTTCTGAAAGTAGAAACTTGAGTTTTTAAATTAGCTACAATCATGAGCTTAGAAAAATTATACCATGGCTAGTCGGAACTAGAAAATCTGTTAGAGATGGGAAAATGGTCCATTCCTGAAAGTAGAAACTTGAGTTTCTAAATTAGCTACAATCATGAGCTTAGAAAAAATATACCATGGCCGAAAAACGGTATTCTGGATATCAGGAATCACCTGGAAAATGGTTAATTCCTGAAAGTTTGGAGTTTGGCGATTTTTTTTTCTAAATTGCATGGAATCATGAACATAGAGGAAATATGCCATCATCATATCGATTCTGTTGGCAGGTGTCCTGAAAACGGTTCACGCTATGTTTAAAGGTGACTTTTATTCAAAGTGAATGTACCTAAAATTTGATTGCACTATATGATAGTTTGGGACCTCTAGTTTCATAATCTATAAGATTTAAAATATTTCATCGGTAAAAATTGTTTTTTGTTTCATTTTTTATGTTTTTTAACGCACAAAAACGCTTTAAAAAAGCAGTTTTTTCCTCTAGATTTAAGAAAAATTTACGTGTAAAAGCATATGTGTTGGTTTATTCCTTTAAATTCCGTTATAGGTAATCTTTTGACAGATACGCGTATTTCGTCTACTACTTGCAGACTTCATCAGTGCCAAGTACTCAACACCACTGAAGAATCCATCTTTTATCTACGAATTAAATACTAATCAATAGGTACTAAAAATCAGCAGGTATCCTCTGCCATGTCACAATTTACCTAAACATGTACTTAAATTTAGTCTCCAACAGGTAGATGCATGCTACGATGTGTGGTTTTAGGTAGCGAAATGTCTTATGTATCCGGTTAAAGCATTTGAGTTAACTTATTTCTTAGTGTTCAAGTACTTACATTTGTAAACAGCAGTCAATGTTAATATATGAACTAAACCCTACGTAAAATCGATCTTTCCTTATGTGTTATTGATGCATGTTTAAGTTTTCGCGGCTGGCGGAATCAACGCGCCTACGTCTATGGAGTTTACGCAGAAGTTATTCGCAATGCGATAGAGCTCACCAAAAGTTTTTTTTTTGAGCTTCTGTAGTATAGAATTTGTCCGGTACGGGCGCGAAATATTGAAATGATTGATCCGTGCGGTAAAATAACTAAATAGAAAAAAAAAACTCAACGGTGAAATAAGTAGAATATTTAGGGAGGAATCCAAAATTAATCAACTTGTCAACGTATGCTATCACATTTATTTTGGTTGCACTCTTTAAGTGATAATAAGCTGTTTTTTCTCTACGGTTGTTTCGCGTGGCGTTCACAATTTGCGCGATTTTCGAATCTTACGTAATTTAGATGTCTAAACGGTTTGACTGACTCGAGGTCGTTCCTTAATCGGTGTTGGTACAGGTTAAACCTTTGCCGACTGTCGGATTCAACGCGCCTACGTCTACGGACCTTACGCAGAAGTGATACGCAATTCGGTAGAGCTTGTCAAACGGTTTGAGCTTATGTAGTTGTTGCCGCTGGGTGCACTGCTTCAGGTTGGCGTTCCGCGTTGTCGCCCCAGCTAAACTCCGATGACGGCTGTCAACGGTCAGCTGAACGTATGACAGGTGACAGTAAGGAAAGAAGGGGACAAACTACTTCCGACGGGGAACAACAGAACGGATAGCAAAGCAACAAGCAAAATAGAAGCTACTCCAGCGAACATTTTTTATTCTAAAATTTATTAATACCTAAGCGATTCAATTTTTTACTAGTAGTGAAGTTTGCCTAGTTAAAAGCACATACAGAAACATTTCTAAACAAGTAACAAACATAGATTTCAAGCATATCATTTGTACACATAGAACACCTTTAAAGCTGCACTAAATCGAAAAGATTTGTTTATGTGCTACTCAAAACCCGGTGTCCGAAACGTATAATTTTTCATTCTGCCTGCCGTAACAAATCTTTAAAATTTACGTTATGAGTGCGGGTCGTACCGGTGCGAATGAATCCACGCTCACGCTGGACATGGATAAGACGGGAGGCTACGTGAACTGCTCGCGCCCCGTTTCTTTCGATAATTTTGTGCAGTGTGACCAGTGCGATAGCTGGTGGCACATGCGTTGCGCAGGAGTGACGGGGTCGGTAGCCGAAAGACCATGGACTTGCCGCAATTGTCTGCCAACGAGTATCAACTCGAAGTCCACCAATAAGTCGGCCCGAATTGCCCTGAGATTGCAGAAGCTAGAGGAGGAGCGCGCAATTCAGCAGCGCGCAATGGAAGCGGAGAAAAGGGCCATCGAAATGGAGAAAAAGCTTATGCAGGAGAAGTATACTCTGCTGGAGGAGCAACTGGAGGAAGACAATGACAATATGAGCAACCGCAGCTGGGTGAGTCGACGAGCAAGCTTGCAACGAGTGATGCAATGGAAACAACGACATATCGGTCGCAGCTTCAAGGGAGTCAGCAGCGGTATACAGGCGCGATTCCCAAAACGGTTCCGAAGCGACAGGTCAACGATCACGTTACACAAACCGTAGGTAACATTACCCAACCCTCGCCCCCCGTAATGCCAACAGGTAAGCCACCAATTAATCCCACTATGAATCCAACATGTTCCGCTCAACCGAACTACAGTTCTTATCAAGATCTGCTAGCAAAATTGGGGTCAATTAGTCCGCTACTAAATTAAACAAGTTCGGCATGACCTATTGGGACGGAGCCTATTCTTCCAGGCCATCCCACCCCTACGGTTCCTCTCTCCACACCCGAATCTGGTCCTTCCCCCTCGCAGTTAGCCACCCGACAAGTAATGGCTCGCGACTTACCCACATTTTCCGGTAATCCCGCGGATTAGCCAATATTCATAAGCAGCTTTAACAATACTACGCTGGCTTGTGAATACAACAGTGCTGAGAATCTCGCTCGTCTCCAGCGCTGTTTGAAAGGCCACGCATACGAATCTGTCAAAAGCCGGTTACTGCTTCCCGAATCTGTTCCACAAGTAATCGATACCGTACGTCTGTTGTACGGAAGGCCCGAATTATTGATAAGTGCTTTGCTACAGAAGGTGCGGAGTGTTGCGGCGCCAAAAGCGGAGAAATTGGAGACCATCATCGACTTTGGAATGGCAGTACGCTGCCTGTGCGACCATTTGGAAGCGGCCGGACTACTAGAGCACCTTTCTAATCCAACCTTGCTGATGGAATTGGTGGAAAAACTATCGTCACACACCAAGATGCAAAGGGCGGAACATATGCAGCGGCACCCGGTTATCAATCTTAAAAACCTTCGGCGATTTCATGCACGGAGTGGTTACAGCGGTTAGCAGAGTAACAATATATGTTGGTGGGAGCAGCAGTGGCCAGCAGAAGCACAAAGTAGCAGTCAACAGTCACCTTAGCGGAGCAGAACCCATCTGTGAGTCAGCGAGCCAGAAGGAGCGTGTATGTGTTTGCTGTAAGAAATTTGGTCATCGTATAGCAGAGTGCCCGGTGTTCAAGTCGTATAACGTGAACGATCGATGGAAGCTCGCACAAACAAACGGTCTATGCTGGAGTTGTCTCAACGCACACGGTAGGAGGAGTTGCAGAAGTGCAACACAATGCATGATCGAAGGATGTCAATTCCGGCACCATCCACTGCTGCATTCAAACCGTTCGAGCGGTCAGCCTACGCCAAGGCTATCAACGGTGCAGAATCACACTCATCGACAATATAAACAAACTCTACTATTTCGTATTGATCCTGTCATCACCTCAGGACCCCGAGCGTCCATCGAAACGTTCGCCTTCCTGGACGACGGGTCAGATCTATCGCTGATTGAGAGCAGCCTGGTGGAGCAGCTCGGTATCGATGGATGGACGAAACCGTTGTGCCTCAAGTGGACAGGGAACGTTGCCAGAGTCGAGTTGGAGTCGAAACATGTTCGAGTTTCGATTAGAGGGGCGAACAGTCAGAAACAGTTCACCCTCAATGACATTCGTACTGTGAAGGAGCTGACTTTGCCGGATCAGAGCCTTAACTACAATGATCTTGCGCAACGTTACCGTTATCTTCAGGGTATGCCAATTGTCAGCTACGAGAAGGCTGTTCCCGCCTGTTAATTGGCGTAAATAACGTGAACCTTACGGTACCACTGCAAGTGAAAGAAGGCAAGAAAGGCGAGCCTATCGTGGTGGCACTCTTTAAATGATAATAAGCATTTTTTTTTCGCTTCGGTTAACTCGCACGGCTTTCGGAATTCGCGCGGTTTTCGTAACTTACATAATTTAGATATTTTGTTCGAAACGGATTTACTTATTTAATCGGTTTACTACGCTGATGAATCTACGCGCACACGTCACAGCATTTTTTCTATAACTATCTTGAAACAATACACACGGAATCCAGTGTTCAAGTGGCCAACATAGGCTAGTCCTTCTGCTGTATTGTCAAAGATAGAAGCAAAATTTATTCAAATGGGTCAAGTCTTGAAAACTACCCATTAAAAAAATCAAAGGTTGCAGAACATATATTTACAAAGGGGCACAATTTGACAAAGGATAACATTAATATCCTGCGGAATGTATCTTCGCCTTGGAAACTAGAAGTAGCAGAAAGTTTAGAAATATTTAAACATAATCCATCAACATTGCTTAATAGAGATCAAGGAAACGGATACACGAGACTCTTTAGCATGCTACCTAAAACCACACATCATAACATACATCTACCTGTTGGAGACTAAATTTAGGTACATGTTTAGGTAAATTGTGACATGGCAGTGGATACCTGCTGATTTTTAGTACCCATTGATTAGTATTTAACTCGTAGATAAAAGATGGATTCTTCAGTGGTGCTGAGTACTTGGCACGGAATTTAAAGGAAATAAACCAACATACTACAAAGCTCTTCATAAAAGGATTCCGTTAAGAGGTTTGACAAATTTTAAAGAGTGTTAAAACATTTTTACTGTCAGTTGACAACTAAGCCCCGTGCGTGAAAGACGTGTTTCTTTTATCCGTCTCGTTATCAGGTTACAAGCTAATGAGTTTTCTATCAGATGGGTGCTAAACGTGAGAACACCTTGGTAGTAGACTTTAGGGTGCTGCCGAAGCGACCAGATGCATCTGCCGTACAGAAATTCATGTACGGTGAGTTGAAACTGGACATAGCGGATGCCTTAAACATCCAGTTTCACAATGTTAGAAACTGTGTCTACGTCGAGATGGTAGATGCAGCAACAGCCAAGCGCTACTTTGCATCACATCATCTACAACACACTATGCAGTGCGAGAAAAAAGCTTACAAAATTCCCGTGTTCGTGGAAGACGAAGCCGTTAACGTGAGAATCCATGATCTCCCTCCGAAAACACCTAACACGGTGATTATAGAAAGTATGCGACCATACGGTACTATTCTTTTCATCAGCAGAGAAATGTGGAAGAATTATTTTCCCGGCATCTACAATGGAGTACGTGTAGTACGGATGAAACTCAAACAACTCATCCCTTCCTATCTGACGATCGATGGTGAGACAACATTGATTACATATCGCAATCAAGCAAACACCTGGAGGTTCTGTGGACAAAAGGCTCATCCCCGACAAAAGTGTAAAAGCTCTATATCACGCATTACTGTCAATGACCCTACAGACGCAGGAAAGGTCACAAACGATGAAAACAGCGAACAAACATTACTCGATACCAATCAAACCCAATCTACAATAGGCGAAACCAGCAAAAACACCCAGCACCAACACTCCGATGGAAACAATTGCGTACAAGAATCGACGGATAGTGAATCGGATGAATTTCTAACCGTCACCAACAAACGAAGGCTGTCAACGAAACAAAAACACAACAATGCGAAACGATATGTTACGAACCAGGGTTGCCGGAATGATGAATCAGCAGGAAATGAAAATTCGATGAAAGAAAAAGAAGACGAATTGTCAGTTCCGGACTCACCAGTCAAGACGAGGAGCAAAAATAAGCAGCTAGGAAGAAAGTGAAAAAAAATGAATTTGAATTAACTGTATTTTCATATATTATTTTTCAGAGACGAACCAGCCTACGGCTGAAAGTCTCTTTAATAAAGAAATCAAATCAAATTTTTACTGTGTCATGGCAAAAAGTTGGATTAAAAAAACCGGAAAAATCAACAATTTTTTCCAATCTTTACGGGTTCTCACTATGTGGTCCTTTGAAAAATCATGGACAATAACATGTTTGAAGGCCACACCTTCAAAGCAGATCATATAGCTACACACTTAGATTTTTTCGCCGAGATGGGCACCACCGAGCAGCTCGGGATTTTATTTTGCTGGATCTCAGTGAAAAACTTGCCGAGTTTCAGCTAACAAACGGAAGTTTTGCCGAGATCTGCTGATGTGAGGGAGCGATACTTCCATGAACAGTGACGAGTTGCCGAAACAAACAAGGAACTGTGGCAAACGTACCATCTGTAACCCAATACTTTGCCTGTCCAAGACGTCGTTCATGAGTTCCAAAAATTAAGGCTCTTTCATTATTGTCACCAAAGTCAGCAATCAATAGACGGTCTCCATTATTATCCTTCTGGAATTCATCCGGTAGATTATGCCTAACGTCCATTATGCCTAGCGTCCTTTATGCCCAACGTCCATTATGCCTATCGTACATTATGCCTAACGTCCGTATGCCTAACGTACGTATGCCTAACGTCCGTATGCCTAACGACCGTATGTCTAACGTCGTGCACCCGATTATGATTGATTAGGTGAATTAGAGATTTTAATTATTTATTCATTATAAATTCATTATAATTATCATTAGCATCATAATCATCAAATGAACTTAAATAAGAAACTTCAGAAAGTCTAATGACATAAAGTAGATTAACAAAAGAATTAAGATGCGGGGGGTCCGCTTAGAGAGGCAACTAACCTTTAAAGTTGTAGAATAAAGCTTCTTATTTAGTCTTGAACTTTAATAAGAAAACGCAAGCAGATTAACAAGGAGAGGAATAGTTTATCAAATAAGTACAAGTAGAGGTATGTGACAATTAATTACTTATAAACTTTTGGAGGTATTGATTTCCCCTGAGTTTGTTGTACTCGATTACTATATTATTCTCTCAATACGCAAAATCTCTTATATATACGGTTAAAGCATTTGAGTTAACTTATTTCTTAGTGTTCAAGTACCTACATTTGTAAACAGCAGTCAATGTTAATCTATGAACTAAACCCTACGTAAAATCGATCTTTCCTTATGTGGTATTGATGCATGTTTAACTTTTCGCGGCTGTCGGTATCAACGCGCCTACGTCTACGGAGCTTACGCAGAAGTGATTCGCAATGCCGTAGAGCTCACCAAAAGTTTTTTGAGCTTCTGCAGTATAGAATTTGTTCGGTACGGTCGCGAAATCTTGAAATGATTGATGATATAATTAAAATAACTTAATTGAAACAAAGCTCAACAATAAAATAAGTAGAATATTTAGGGAGGAAACCAAAATTAATCAACTTGCCAACGTAGGCTATCACATTTATTTTGGTGGCACTCTTTAAGTGATAATAAGCTGTTTTTTCTCTACGGTTGTTTCGCGTGGCGTTCACAACTACCGCGATTTTCGTATCTTACGTAATTTAGATGCTTAGCTCTAAATGGTTTTACTGACTCGAGGTCGTTCCTTAAGCGGTGTTGGTACAGGTTAAACCTTTGCCGACTGTCGGATTCAACACGCCTACGTCTACGGAGCTTACGCAGAAGTGATACGCAATTCGGTAGACCTTGTCAAACCTTTTTGAGCTTATGTAGTATAGAATTTGATCAGTATGGTCGCGAAATCTTGAAATGATTGATACGTGCGGTAAAATAACTTAATTGAAACAAAGCTCAACAATAAAATAAGTAGAATATCTAGGAAGGAAACCAAAATTAATCAACCTGCCAACAAAGGCTATCACATTTATTTTGGTGGCACTCTTTAAATGATAATAAGCCTTTTTTTCTCGCTTCGGTTGTCTCGCACGGCTTTCTGAATTCGCGTGGTTTTCGTAACTTACATAATTTAGATATTTCGTTCGAAACGGATTTACTTATTCAATCGGTTTACTACGCGGATGTATCTACGCGCACTCGTCACAGCATTTGTTCTATAACTATCTTGAAACAATACACACGGAATCCAGTGTTCAAGCGGCCAACATAGGCTAGTCCTTCTGCTGTATTGTCAAAAATAAAAGCAAAATTTATTCAAATGGGTCAAGTGTTGAAAACTAAGCTGTCACGCAGCTCCAGCTTGATACCCAATAAAAAAAGAAAAGAAAAGAAACTTACCAAAAAGTGAAACATCACTAGACTATTCATGATACTCTGGAACTGCGAGGGAAGCTGGAATCGAATCCGGATGAACTTAGCCATCCGATGGCCACCAAACACATCCAGGCTTGCTTCTACTCACTTGCTATAAAAATGATTATCGGAATTTTGAAATTATTAGGTATTATAATTATATTTTGTTCTTGCTAGATACAAGAAGAGGTTGAAAGGCAAGTGTTTGACACTTAAAACCTGTCAATTTCGCTTTCAGAGTGTCACAATCAGCAATTCTATGATTCGTGAGCGTTCACTTAGAGTGAGCGCTCGCGAGACGTAAAATCGCTGATTGTGACTATCTGCAAGCGAATTAGACAGGTTTTATGTGTGACACTTGCATTTTAATATCTTTTTGTATCTAACATGTTATCAATTATTTCAAAATTCCGAAAATCATTTTTTTACAGCAAGTGAGTGGAAGCAAGCCTGGTTGACATGACTGATTCTCAAAAATTTGGTTACCACATTTTAAGATTCAGTCACTATTGGAAAGATATGACCATAGGGTAACTCTAAGTCCAGAAGGTCCCGAAGAAACTTGCTCACCAGCTCAGCTCTGGTACTTCGGTTCCAAGCTAATCAATGCACCCCTCGAAACATAGGAAAATCCACGAACCCCTCGTTTTATCTAGTACTAGAATTTCGACTTGAATGGGGTACTCCTATAGATGTACTTGGGACCAATAGGCTAGTCAAGTAGTGAGCCAATTTAAAACCGTTAGTTTCCATTGGTTGAATATGTGCTATCAAATGGAACAGACAGGGAACCAATAGGACTTGTGGTTGGCTAGTCGGAACTAGAAAATCTGTTAGAGATAGGAAAATGGTCCATTTCTGAAAGTAGAAACTTGAGTTTTTAAATTAGCTACAATCATGAGCTTAGAAAAATTATACCATGGCTAGTCGGAACTAGAAAATCTGTTAGAGATGGGAAAATGGTCCATTCCTGAAAGTAGAAACTTGAGTTTCTAAATTAGCTACAATCATGAGCTTAGAAAAAATATACCATGGCCGAAAAACGGTATTCTGGATATCAGGAATCACCTGGAAAATGGTTAATTCCTGAAAGTTTGGAGTTTGGCGATTTTTTTTTCTAAATTGCATGGAATCATGAACATAGAGGAAATATGCCATCATCATATCGATTCTGTTGGCAGGTGTCCTGAAAACGGTTCACGCTATGTTTAAAGGTGACTTTTATTCAAAGTGAATGTACCTAAAATTTGATTGCACTATATGATAGTTTGGGACCTCTAGTTTCATAATCTATAAGATTTAAAATATTTCATCGGTAAAAATGGTTTTTTGTTTAATTTTTTATGTTTTTTAACGCACAAAAACGCTTTAAAAAAGCAGTTTTTTCCTCTAGATTTAAGAAAAATTTACGTGTAAAAGCATATGTGTTGGTTTATTCCTTTAAATTCCGTTATAGGTAATCTTTTGACAGATACGCGTATTTCGTCTACTACTTGCAGACTTCATCAGTGCCAAGTACTCAACGCCACTGAAGAATCCATCTTTTATCTACGAATTAAATACTAATCAATAGGTACTAAAAATCAGCAGGTATCCTCTGCCATGTCACAATTTACCTAAACATGTACTTAAATTTAGTCTCCAACAGGTAGATGCATGCTACGATGTGTGGTTTTAGGTAGCGAAATTTCTTATGTATGCGGTTAAAGCATTTGAGTTAACTTATTTCTTAGTGTTCAAGTACTTACATTTGTAAACAGCAGTCAATGTTAATATATGAACTAAACCCTACGTAAAATCGATCTTTCCTTATGTGTTATTGATGCATGTTTAAGTTTTCGCGGCTGGCGGAATCAACGCGCCTACGTCTATGGAGTTTACGCAGAAGTTATTCGCAATGCGATAGAGCTCACCAAAAGTTTTTTTTTGAGCTTCTGTAGTATAGAATTTGTCCGGTACGGGCGCGAAATATTGAAATGATTGATCCGTGCGGTAAAATAACTAAATAGAAAAAAAAAACTCAACAGTGAAATAAGTAGAATATTTAGGGAGGAATCCAAAATTAATCAACTTGTCAACGTATGCTATCACATTTATTTTGGTTGCACTCTTTAAGTGATAATAAGCTGTTTTTTCTCTACGGTTGTTTCGCGTGGCGTTCACAATTTGCGCGATTTTCGTATCTTACGTAATTTAGATGTCTAAACGGTTTGACTGACTCGAGGTCGTTCCTTAATCGGTGTTGGTACAGGTTAAACCTTTGCCGACTGTCGGATTCAACGCGCCTACGTCTACGGACCTTACGCAGAAGTGATACGCAATTCGGTAGAGCTTGTCAAACGGTTTGAGCTTATGTAGTTGTTGCCGCTGGGTGCACTGCTTCAGGTTGGCGTTCCGCGTTGTCGCCCCAGCTAAACTCCGATGACGGCTGTCAACGGTCAGCTGAACGTATGACAGGTGACAGTAAGGAAAGAAGGGGACAAACTACTTCCGACGAGGAACAACAGAACGGATAGCAAAGCAACAAGCAAAATAGAACCTACTGCAGCGAACATTTTTTATTCTAAAATTTATTAATACCTAAGCGATTCAATTTTTTACTAGTAGTGAAGTTTGCCTAGTTAAAAGCACATACAGAAACATTTCTAAACAAGTAACAAACATAGATTTCAAGCATATCATTTGTACACATAGAACACCTTTAAAGCTGCACTAAATCGAAAAGATTTGTTTATGTGCTGCTCAAAACCCGGTGTCCGAAACGTATAATTTTTCATTCTGCCTGCCGTAACAAATCTTTAAAATTTACGTTATGAGTGCGGGTCGTACCGGTGCGAATGAATCCACGCTCACGCTGGACATGGATAAGACGGGAGGCTACGTGAACTGCT